GATGGCGCCGCCATGTACCTGGGCGAGGTGCTGGGCCCGCGGGGCGAGCGCTGGGAGATCCAGCTCAAGGGCGCCGGCCTCACTCCCTTCTCCCGGTAAGGCCCGACGGGCGGCCCGGCCCCGAGGAAGCGGGGCGGCGGGGGGGGACGATGGCGGAATCACCCGGTGAAGCCCGTTTCGGGAGGAGCCGCACCCCGCTGCCCCCGCGTGAAGCCCCCCGTGCGTGGCGAGCTCGCCGTGCCGAGGGAGGCTGGGGGCGGGCTTTCCTGCCCGCTAATTGCATTAGCGAGGATCCTTCCCGAAGGCAGACGTCGTCTCTTAAACCCTCGGGCTTCTTTTTAGTATCCTCGCTGCAGCGAGTGCAATGCTTAAATGCCAAACCAGAAGGTGGCAAAATTTTCCTCTGAAAATTAGACTGTAATTGCATCTCCTTCAGGTGCTGCATCGTTTCTGTCCCTGGTTATCCTCCTCTGATGCTTTTCCCCCTTCCTTAGGAGGACACACACCCTGTTGAAAGTAGGGACAGCAGTGTGCAATAGCCACCTGATTGCTTGCTGCCAAGTTGTCCTATGGTTCACACAAATGGTATTTAAAATGCAGGTGCTTGGTTTGTTTGTGCTGCTGGTCCTGCTGCCAGCAGTGCCTTTCCTCCATCCTTCCGGACTGGGAGGGAATGGTGGAAAAGCCCCTACAGTGGCACACTGACCAGGGCTGGATAGGCCTGGCACACTGGCAAGGGATGGATATCTCCATTAGTCACTTTAGCCTGCACTGCTTTAAATCTTTCAGGTAGTTTTCCCACTTGCGTTTCCTATATTTTCTGTTCCAGCTGCGCACAGGCTCGGTAACACCTTAGTTTCATACATGTGATACTCTGAAGGCCGCCTTCTAGTCTGGAAAGGAAATCACAGTGAAAAATCCCAGATACGGTAGTAGCATTGTAGGTCTGCTCTGGGCAGCTCTTCTGCTTGCCTGTGGCTTCCGAAGTGCTGGGAGCGTGGGCTGAGAACCACCCGTGCCTGTTCCGTTTACTTTATGTCTATTAAATAAGCTAGTTTGCTATTTGCTGTCTGTTCAGGGATTTTTTTAATGCAACTGCCATGTGTGCCTGCACTTAACACCCCATTTCTAGATTGCTTACCCAGGAAGATACGAAATAATATTATTTTTCAAGAGGCATAACCATAGGCATTTTAGTAAGAGGAAATCAGTGACTTCTTGTATAATAAACTAGCGATACTTGTCCAAAATTTTTTGATTTTTTTGAAAGACTGTTGCGTCAATAAAAACAACAGAGTTAATGATTAGAAGGGTTATGTGTAACTGGAAGGTTTATTTTTTTTCTGCTATGTGTGGTCTTCATTGCAAGTGTGTTGTATCTAATTGAACTTTAACAGAAGTCTGAAGGTCCAGCTTTTGTTCTCAGATCTGCTACTACTTTGTTGCGTGACTGTGGACAAAGCACATTGTTTCTAGGCTTTTGTTTCTCTGCAGATAAGGGGGAGACAGGAGTTCGTGCCTTTACAGCCTAAAAATTCTCCGTGTCTTCTTGTTGCAGACAGGCCGATGGTCGGAAGGTCCTGCGGTCGAGCATACGGGAGTTCCTGTGCAGCGAGGCCATGTTTCACCTAGGAATACCAACAACAAGGGCTGGGACGTGTGTGACATCTGACTCAAAAGTCGTCCGTGACATATTTTATGATGGGAATCCAAAAAGTGAAAGGTGTACAGTTGTTCTGAGAATAGCTTCTACGTTTATAAGGTAGAAACCTGTTTTGTTGGGGTTTTTATTCTTTTAAAACCAAGCACAGCAGTCTTTTAAAATACCATTTTAAGTGTATTTCCATAACGGCACCGCTTGTGTGTTTCTTATTCTGGAGGCTTGGAACTCTTTTGCGAAGCTGTAGGAAGCCGCTTTTCTTGTCCCGGGAATACAATGAGCTGGTGTCTTTGCACCCAGACAGATGAACACTAAGGGTGCTAGCCTGGTAGAAGGAAGAACTAAGTTCTGCACACCTCAGAAGAGATTTTTCACGTTTATGCCTGCATGGAATACATGCTGCTTTTGCTGCTGCTGGTAGTGGTGGATTATAGCTCCACTCTTAATTCCAAAGCTATTCTAATGTAGCATTGTCAAAGTTTGGGTGTACTTTCCCTGCCTGAGAAGTGTACAAGGTTCGTGCTCCGACACAAAACATTTGGAGTTTCGGAAGTTGCATTGCTTCTTGTAAGATAACAAAATATTAGGGGACGATGAGGAATAGGAATATGTGCATGTATACGTTTGTGTATATACGCGTGCGTGCCTGTATATATGTGGAAAAATCTATCTTACGTGCTTGATGTACAGTCTGGTATTTTAAGTAAGTTCTATTCCTGTGTTATTTACCCAGGATAAGAATTTTTTCCATAGAAGTGGTTGTTAATGAGCTGGTCTTGATCTTACATGTGGATGTGTGTGTTTTCTTGCGTTGAGTCACTGAGCCTCGCTGGGTTCAGCGCAGGAGTATTGTGAGTCTTTGTCAGTTGAAGGATCAGTGTTAAGAGGTGATATGGTGTTATTGCAACAACAGTAAATGTTTTTACTACATGTAACATCACATGAAGTTAATAGTATCAAATAATACTGAAACATTTTTGTTATTTTAAAACAGATTTGGTTCTTTCGAAATCTTTAAACCTACCGATGAATACACAGGACGCAAGGGTCCCAGTGTTAACCGAAATGATATTCGAATACAGATGCTTGATTATGTGATCAGCACTTTCTATCCAGAAATCCAGGAGGCTTATTCAGACAACAGTATACAGAGGAATGCTGCTTTCTTCAAAGAGGTGAGAAAGATGAGATTCTCTTCATAAATCCGTAGCAGTCGTCTTTAGGAACTTCATCTGCAAGCACAGATGGCTGGGGTCGGTTAATTGCCTGAACTATCCTTTTCCGTGGAGGAAACTCTCAATAGAACTGCTTATCGATGAAAATGATTGTGATATTGATCAAACTAATGGAAGTGGTTTAACCTTTTTAATAGAAAATCATGATTCCTCTGCTCTGGAAGAGCTTCCCAAGACTTGTCTCTGTTTGCTGGGAGTGTCTTAGACTGCGAGGGTCAGTTCTGGCCCTGACCGTCAGATGATGAGTTTATGGTACTGAGATATCACTTGCAAGGCATCATCTTGTAAAATACTGAGAACCTTGCCACTTCCCATCTCATTTTTCGAATTACAAACAGGAATGTTGACTGCAAATCACTTTTAAGTTCAGGCTTTAGAACTGAAATGTTTAAAGGCAGTGAATTGTTGCAAGGGCTTGCCTGAGGAAGTTGCAAAACCTCCAGCTTTGGGAATGGTAAGATCAGGTGAGATAAATACGCCTTAGATGTGGTGTAGTATCAGAGGTCGTTGTGTGGTGGCCCAGAGGAGAGGCTGGGTGATTTCTCAGAGACCCATTTTGAACTTGTTTTCAATTACTGTATAAATTTAGACCTTAACAATTACTGGAGATCCATAATAAAAATCAGAACTATAGCATTAGTAAATGTAGAATTCCTATATTTCTCTTTGAAGTAAAATATAGCTAAATTAGTTGTCATCTAAACTTTATCTTCTGAATATAGCTTTTGCCTCACGATACTATATTACTATTTTTGACATCAGATTTCTCTTGCTATATTTTTTTGTCTCAGTAAGCAAACAAAGAATTTGGAGTCAGGGAATAAGATGCTTCTCTTCGTGTTTTAGTGATTAGTATATAGTCATGCTACCCTTGCAGAAGGGATCGGGTTTGAAATCCCTGGAGAACTGTAATAAAGGCTCTGATAGGGATCACCTGAAGTTCAAATAATGGTACAACTCAAATAAGAATGTTATAACTAGCTAGGAAGCAGAATAATTAAAAAATACTATAGTCTAATACGTTTAATTAGTCCATGTACAAGCAGTTGTGATGCTTTGAAATCTGAAATGATCTGGTAGGGACTGGGGGGAATGGCTGCAACATGGTGCATGTCCATAACAGACCAATAAGGGGTCGAAAGGCAGGCAAAAAAAAAATCTGACAATCCAGATTTTGTGGGGTTTGAATTTGTGGGGTGATTTTGTGGATTTTGGTTTGCCTTTTTTTTTTTTTTTTTTTTTGGCTTTAACACAACCTGCGCCTACTTGCGTTAGTTCTTCAAAAGCGAGCCGTGGTGTGGTCCACCGCTGGCTGCCAGAGAGTTTAACTTCCCTGGACAGGCCTGTTGCGTTAGAACGATGGGAGTTGCTGATGAGGACTGTGTCTTGTCACCCGCTATGTGACAGCTCCGTAGTTGATGGCATGCTTACTTTCTGATGACAGAAAAGTCATGGAACTTGGGAATCTTTGTGGATATGTTTGTGCCCAGTCCTGCCTCTTTCTGCTTTTGGCTGCTTTTCCTGGCCCAGTTACTACTGGTTTCCTCCTCCCATCCTGTCACACTTTCCTTATTGCCCCCATCTCCATTGTTTTGTCTGTTTGTTGTGCTCCTCCTGCCTGTGCCTGTCCATGCTCCATGCCTACGCTAGCGTTGACTCTTCATGTTTCCTCTCCTCCTTAGTGGAGACTTTCCATACCTCTCTCCTTCTGAAAAACACACCAATCCCTTACCTCGTTTGACAAACATGTCCATCTTTTTTAATAGTGAGGAAGTGCTGTCAGCTCAACTCCTAACGTGTTTTGTCTGTCTTTTTGCACGGTAGAAGAAAAGGAGGAAAAAAGTACAAGTGGTTGCCTTGGACAGCACTGTCTAGAAAGCAAACACCATTATCTGTACTTCTCAAATAATTTGTAGGTATTGTTTAAATTTAAATGAGCATGTCCTTGAGATAGTGCTCTTGTTTATGTGTACACCGTACTTGTTTTCTGGTATGGCTAGCAGTAGAAAAATGTGATCAAAAAGCATGAAGCTCAAAGTGAGTGCAAAGCCATCTCTTTCTCATTAATATACTGATCTTTGAGTGGTGCCCAAGATTTAATTGCTTTCAGGTGTTCTCATTAGCAGGATTTATTTTTTACCAGAACACTGGCAGTTTGTGATGCATTCATACAAAGACATTCAGCAGTCATGAATTGCTTTACCATTGGCGTGCTTTCATCCCAACTCCGGTGGCCTGGATTTTTTTATTTCTAAGTTTTACCGTCTTCCTGGCACAGAGCCATCGTGGGGGTGTGTCTCCCTTACTGGTTTATGGCATACCAGTAATCAGTTTTGGACACGTGTAACGGCTTGGAGTGCCTTCTCCTCTGTTAACTAGCTCGGGTTTTAAACCTTAATAAATGCTCTTACATTGCAGCTGGAGGGAATAGTTGCTTTAAATTTCTGTACGTTGATAGCTATTTGGGAAGATGAGTGATTTTAGCTATGAAAATAGTTTGATTTTATAGTTTTAGCTAATGACTACATAAAATTTTTATTTACAGCATTTAGTGAAGTATTTAGAAACATTCAGGTTTATTTAAAAGCCGGGTTAGTTGCCTAAATTTTTAGATTTCATAGGGCATATCTAGTTATATTTCATAGGGCATATCTAGTTATATTTCATAGGGCATATCACAGTCATTATCCCATGACAGGTGGGATAATTTAATTAGATAACTAGAACTATTTTAAAATATTACACTCTTTATTTGAAGAATGAGTCACATGCAATGATTACAGTCAAGGATTCCACAACAATCGCTCTGAGTTAAGCAACTGAAAAACTCTGGTAAAGCATACATGGAGTGAAGGATTGCATTTAAATAAAATTATAATTCTTTGAATATTTTTACTTAACCTTGTAGCTTTTTTTCACTCTCAGCAAATTAAGGGAAGTGTTTATCAGTGCTAAAACTTCTTAGCAGGATATAATTTTTTGTGTAAACCACTTACCTTCCTGTAAATCACTCCTTCGTGCCAGGTAAACCAAAAGACTAACTTTATGTTAGGCTTTGCTGCATATAGTTAATTTTATTTATTAGACTTTGCTTATGTTTTCTCTTGCCTGTAGTTAAAGGATCTTTAAAATTAGTAGTAAGCAAGAGAATGTATTTGTATCACATCTGGAACAGGAGGCAAGTCTGGTGTCAGTTTACCTTATTTCCGCATTCCGTCTCCAGTACATTTTGAAGCTGTCCAGTTGACTTGGAAGTGAAGAGTGGAAGGAAAGAAGAGGAGGCAAACAGAAATGGGAGAGTGAGAAACAAGGCAGTTACTATAGGAGAAAGGCAAGCTGTCCCCAAGAGATGTGTGTGTGTATGGCATACTGCCAGCATCTGCTTCCATCGGAGCTGTAGGAAGATTCATTTCGGACTACAAAATGCTTGGAAATACATGAATGTATTTGAAATACATTGTGTTGAAAAATAATAATAATAATAAAAATCTCTTTTAGATAACAAAGCGGACAGCGAGGTTGGTTGCTGAATGGCAGTGTGTTGGGTTTTGCCATGGGGTGCTGAATACGGATAATATGAGCATAGTTGGACTAACCATTGACTATGGCCCTTTTGGATTTATGGACAGGTCAGTGTGGCATAATCATTTGAAATGTGTGTAGGTATTTGCAATGTCGAACAATCCTGATGTTCGCGATTGCTTTAATATTTTAACTCTGAACCCTCTTTGTGGCAAAGTAGATTAACTTAGTTCTAATTGTCCCGTAATTGTTCTTTTCAACTTTTTTTTAACTGTATTTACAACATCTCTAACAGTTAGACTGTTCTTTCAGCCAGTGGGGTTTCTCAGCATTTGAGAGGGTAGAAAAATATCTCATGGAGTAACTTTGGGAAAAGAATCCAGGAGGAGTGTTCCCTTTTGAATTTTTTAGCTTCCTAGAGGAGACTAAAATAATAAAAATAATACTTCTCATGATATTGGTGTCCAGATAACTAGAAGAATGCTATTTCTTCGTTTGTAGATATGACCCTGAGCACATTTGCAATGGTTCTGATAATACAGGGCGCTACGCTTACAACAAGCAGCCAGAGATTTGCAAGTGGAACCTGGGGAAGCTTGCTGAAGCTCTAGTTCCAGAGCTGCCCTTGGAAATAAGTGAACTCATTCTGGAAGAGGAATATGATGCAGAATTTGAGAAACATTATTTGCAGAAGATGAGGAAGAAACTAGGCCTAATCCAGCTGGAATTAGAGGAAGATAGTAAGCTGGTGTCTGAACTCCTTGAAACCATGCATCTCACAGGTTGGTAAGGAGCACAGTGGGTTAGTATTTAATAGTTAATTAATTTGGTAATTAATTAACCAAAGTGGAGATTTTTTTGTTTTGACCTTACAAGAAAGCAGCCTTTTGCAAGTACATTGTCATCTGAGAGAAGAACAAAAGGCTGAAAAATAATTACCTTCTTGTGTACTGTGAGGCAGCTGTTGCCTTGGTAGAGGGCTCTCCCTGTCTCTCATTTGCAGAAGCAACACGTACTGCTGCAGGGGGTAGGAAGCAAATGTGGGACCTGT